GAAAACATCGTGAGGAAACCTGCGAAAAAAATAAGAAAAAAAATATTTCGAAGATGTGAAGTTCGCTAACACGCATTAGGCCAGCGCGGCGGACACTTCCTTGCCCTAAAACCCTCTCAGAAATGAGGGGAGGCCTATGTCAAGTAGTGAAACGTCGTAAAATAGTCTGTAATTTTAACTTTTTTAACTTTAAATCTTGAAAATATTTATAATATTTTGATTTTTAACGCCTTTTTCTTCCTTTGCAGTTTCTTTAAGCGCCGCTATTCTATCTTTCTGGAGTTCATTCCACAAGTTGTGTTCCTGTGCCTGTTGTTCCTCTACATGGTATTTATGATGTTCTACAAGTGGATTGCTTACAGCACTATGTCTGAAGGTGAGCATAGTGAATTTGACTTAATAAATGTGTTATAACAGAAGTAAACACCTATTGGTCAATATATTACTAATACAGGTCTTGGGTTCAAATTACGAGTGCCAACAATTGTGCGAAACCCCTATTTTTGTTTTGGTATCGAATTTTCGAGAACGATATTGTAACTGTGGTCAAAAATAGGTCAGAGGTGCATCATTACTAGGTTAGGCTATTTTATAGTTTTTTTTTAAATATAATATAACAACGAGAAACTAACTAACATCCAACCTGATGATAAGCGACGATCTACATAAATATATACCTGGCTTTCCATAACTTCAAAACTAAATACAAGGTTGCATTACTAGTTCGCTACAGAAATTGATAAAAGGGTTGTATGGCCAGATGAAATCTTTTTTTAATAGTAAATAAAAAAAATAGTAATAGTTTTTATTTAATAGCAGAGTGACAAACGAACACATAGTCTACCTGATGGTAAGTGGATACTGTGGCCCATAGACATCTACAACAATCCTCGATAAATAATGAAAATGCAAATGCGATGTCACCCCTTAGGACTGAGATGAAATGTTTCCAGTAAAAAGGGTTTCCGGTTATCTACACTCACCATACGAAACACAGTATTAAGCTGCTATTTAACGCTGGTATTTTGTGAGAGCATGGTCCTACCCCGGCCAAGTCGCCTCAGTCATGCTACAACCGTAATACAGCTGCGGCGTGTTTCTACCACGTACAAAAGTATACTATAACACGGTTAAGCTTAGCTTCAGCCACCGCAGAGTCTATTTCACCTGTGGATGCCTCGTTTAGAGGTGTAACTCTTGTCGTATTGTCGACGGTGGTGTGGTGGTGTTGGGATTAGTGGTGACGGGAATAGTGAAGGGAAGGAGGTGCTCTTCAAGTTAGATAAGACACATCATTTGATTTTATTAGACGTATCTTAGATTATTGACTTTTTTGTAGGAAACATGGCAAGCGAGTATGCGGCTCACCTGATGGTAAGTGACTACCGCCGCCCATGAACAACTGCAACGCCAGGGGAATCAGGAGAATCGCAGATGCGTTGCCAGCCTTTTAAAAATGAGTAAGCTCTTTTCTTGAAGGTCCCTAAGTCGTATCGGTCCGGAAAAATCGCTGGTGGTAATAGATTCTACAAGGAAGTTGTGCGAGGAAGAAAACATTCTAAATCGCACCGTAGTGGTGGACCGCCAATCATCCAGATGGTGTGGATGGTATCTGGAGTTCAGCCGCCATGTGCGTTTTTAAACATATTTGACTTTAATTTTTGCAGATCAAGCGTACACGCAAGGCTGCGCCCCGTCCGTGCTGATCCTGTTCATCAACATGATGCTGTTCTCCAGCAACGAGCCGCAGCCGGGCTGCAAGGAGTTCATGTTCGAGGGCCAGGGCAGCATCCAGCGCGTGTTCGTGCTCGTCGCCCTGTGTTGTATACCAGTTATGTTGTTTGGGAAGCCGCTCTACCTGCTGTCCGCTAGCAAGAAAAAGCATTCTAAGGTGGGTTGTATTACATACTTGTTTTAAATATTGATTTTAGGTGTAGGTACATTTTCTTAACTGTGGAATAGATCCCATATCTAGTAGTTGAGTGTTTATGGGTTCATGATGATAATGACAATACATGCCTTAAATGCTACACTTTATTTTGTCACTAAGCTTTTGAACTAACTGGTTATCCTATTGAATGCTCCCATCGAAAATAATAGCATTCTCTCAATATTCTCGTTATCTTTTACTAGTTTTATCAGCAATCGGTGCTTTATGTTACTTAGTGTAATGATTTCAAATTAATTAATAAATTGAAATTGTCAGTGACACGTATCTTACAGTTGAGTTGCTAAAAATACCCACATCACATAAATGGCAAAAATAAATATATATCCTTTTATAGCTGTAAGATATCTTTTTACTTTTATAAAATATAATACTTTAAACATTACAGCCAGAATCATCAAATGGAAGTGTGAACCCAGGCATCGAGATGCAGGAACAGACGGATCTCAGCAACAGTCAGCCCCAGGCTAAAGCCAGCGCCTCTCACGACCACGACGATGAACCATTCAGCGAGATTATGATCCATCAGGCTATACACACTATCGAATATGTGCTCAGTACTATCTCGCACACCGCATCGTACTTACGACTGTGGGCGTTATCACTCGCTCACGCAGGTAATCATTAAAGCAATACAGTTAATTGTAGAATTTTAATGTAATTCAATCAGCTTTTACTGTATCATTAATTGTTCATACTATCCATTAAAATATTGATATTTAAATAGTCAATTTACTTTATGATGTCGGAGCTGCACTCGTGTCCGGCTCGAAAGACCACAAAACTAAATTATTTTCTTTTTATAAAGTAGGAAAATAAGTGCAGTGTGTTACTAAATGTCATATCTCAGTTTATGTTGAAATATCGGAACAATAAAGTTAGTTAAACATTAGTATGACTCACCTTTAACTCCTACATCACGAGCTCAGGGTTCGGCACTTGCCATAGCCAACACTCCTGCGCAAGCACAAATTGTTGGTTACGGTTGTGATGTAATCCCATAAATATGTCTCCAAAATCAGTCTAGTCATTTGGGAGTTTAGAAGGAAAAAAATTACGAAATTATGCACACCGGAATTATATATATAAAGATTACTGACAAAATTTTCTTCTCGTGTATCTTAATATCTCTTAAACTTAACCTCTCTTCAAATTCACAAACATCGACAATATACCGACAATGAGGGCTAATAATTTTCTGCTCACCAGATGTCGCTAGTTGATACTGAGGTAAAGTTTTTTTGTTACACAATGTAATTTAATTGAGAAGTTATTTTTTATTAAAAGTTTATCAGTTTCTAGAGTATTATATTAACACACAAAACAATGCGTCAGTTGTTCTCATTAATTTATTGCAAATTTTAACTTTATTTTTAATTTTTCTACTTTTATGAATATCCATGGTTTGGTTTATTTATTTTTAATGTTATTAATATAAAATATAGCTAATAGTACAAAAAGAAACAAAATAACTTTTATATCTTCCGAACAAATCAACTTCCCCGCTATGAAACTGTCAAATATCATACCTCACTTTCTAGTGGCGATAACCTGGTGGCAAAAAAAGTCGTGGATGCCCTCATTAGGCACTGTTTCTTACGTAGATATTTTTTTTGCCCAGAACTTTCGGAGGTACTGTGGAACATGGTGCTGACGTTCGGTCTAAAGGACGCGAACTACATCGGCGCTATCAAGCTATACGTGGCGTTCTGCTTCTGGGCGCTCTTCACGCTCGCCATCCTTGTTATGATGGAGGGACTTTCTGCCTTCTTACACACATTGCGTTTGCATTGGTAATGTATTTTATTTACTTTATAAGATTTTACAAGAATAATCATGAAAGTTTATTTCATATATATTATCTATACAATTTCAGGAATTTCATTTTCAGGAATAACTTAAGTTTCAATTTAAATACGATTTGAGATTTTACATAATTTTAAAGAAGACATTGAGAATATGCACAATAATAAAAGCAGTAATTATCCTTCACAGTACTCGAGCAACCCGGGTTCGAACCCGCCGGCATTAATGAAATTGTTAATTGCAATTGTGCTGATTTACCACGTGCTCGGCGGTGAAGGAAAACATCGTGAGGAAACCTGCATGTCTGAAAAATAATAAAAAAATATATATCGAAGACATGTGAAGTTCGCCAACACGCATTGGGGCAGCGCGGCGGACATTTCCTTGCCCTAAAACCCTCTCAGAAATGAGAGGAGGTCTGTGCCCAGCAGTGGGACGTAAATAGGCTGCAACTTTACTTTTACTACTTTACTTTTTAGAAATTCTTGAAGAATTCAGTAATCCTGCTTCCTATTGACCTTGGGCCCTGATTGCGACTTAGTAATTATTAGATTTCAGTTCCAGTACTGGAGTAGCTCCATACCTGACACTTACTCACTATTGCTCTATTGGATTTAAAAAGTCAGTCTCGTTTTTTTATAGTATAAGGGTGACATACGAGCACACAGTCCACTTGATGGTAAGTGGTTGTTGTGGCTCATAAACATCTACATCTATCCACGTTTATGGAAATAAATGGACATTTATCCTCGATTAAAAATAAATATGCAGATGCTTTGTCACCCCTGAAGATAAAGATAGAATGCCTCGTTTCCAGTAAAAAGGTTCTCCGGTTCTCTACACTCACCATAGGATCACAGCAGCATTAAGCTACTATTTTACGCTGGTATTCTGTGAGAGCGTGGTTCTTCGCCGGTCAAGCTAACCCATTTGTGCTATAACTATACCACTAATATAGATGCAGCATAGCTGATGCGTATAAAAATGGTTTAGTTAATATTTAAAATTATCGAACCAATACTCTATTTTGGCTATCATTATCTTTACAGGGTAGAGTTCATGAGCAAATTCTACGCAGGCTTGGGCTATATCTTCCAACCGTTCTGTTTCAAGACGATCCTCGAACAAGAGGATGAAGAATAAAAGTACAAAAAAAGAAACAAATGATCAAATGTAGTATAGTTCGCCATAGTATTTAAATTGTTTTTAATGTGAGCGAAGATCGTAAACAAAAGTCACAAGTATTAATTTGAAATAAATATATTTCAGCATGTTATACACAGTTGTTTTATTTCCATCCTATAAAAAAATCCATATAATGTACATAATCTGAATACATAATATCTGGTAACACTAGATAAGTATACATAATATCTGGTAACACTAGATAAGTATACATTATATCTGGTAACACTAGATAAGTATACATTATATCTGGTAACACTAGATAAGTATACATAATATCTAGTAACATTAGATAAGTATACATAATATCTGGTAACACTAGATAAGTATACATAATATCTGGTAACACTACATAAGAATACATAATATCTGGTAACACTAGATAATTGATACGCCGTGCTTGGGGTATTTATAGGAAAAATAAGGGTTCTAAAAAGAAAACAAAAATATGTTTTCCCATAGAAATTTATTTGTAGTTGCATGATTTTTTTGAAACAATATTGAAATCTATGTCCTTAAATTAGCTTTTGCCTTTTCCATGATTTCCTTCTTTATCTTTGGATATTCGGGGTGGACCTTGAGTATATGTCGGCATACGATTATGCACTCCGGGTACTTCTTCAGCTTAAGATAGGCGTGCGCCAGTTTATAGCCTACTGCAAGATCTGTTTTCCCGGTGTGAATCCACGCGTTATCATAATTATGTGCAGCGCTCTTGTAGTTTTGTTCTTTTTCTGCTAAATATCCTAAAACAGATTTCAAATTAATAATAATGGAAAATAGCTCAGAGGAATAATTGTCCGGATTAATCCAACATCGTACATCGGGACAAAATACCCGACACCATCCATACTACTTATCATCCATAGTCTTTTTTTTTTGTAGAAGCATTTTACGAACATTAACAAGATGAACTGAACTGAACACATAGACAATAACCACAACTAAGGTAGATATTTATGGGCATACACATACTTGTTCCTTGTATGTATCGAAGGAGCTTAGCCACTGCGGTAGCAAGCCGTCAAAAATATTTATTAAAGATTGGATTTATAGTGAAATTTAGCAAAATTTTTGCTCTAAATGATTCAAAATTTGCTAGATGATAGGACTTTTTTTCCGTCTAGGATTCCGTCTAGGTAGCACCTTCTTACCTTTTTCTGCCGCCAAATAACAGTGCTTGGACTTTTGTGCTCCCTTCTGAATGTTACAGAGAGCCAGAATATTTACAGGCTGTGAGGTACTCTATCTTTGTTCTCTCAGAGATGACAACACACCTGTAGCCCTCTTTGTGTGAAGATAGTTGCAGGTGTGTGTCACCATCAGGACGACTGTCACAAGTTTGTTTGTCACTTTAGTTTTACAAAAAGAAATATTCCTAAATAAGGGAATAAGAAATTTTTACCTAAATACTGATACGCAGTAGCGCAAGAGTTGTTGTGATTCAAAATTTTTGTAAGTAATTCTTTGGCGGCGTCTACCCTCCCAGAGTTGATTTGTCCGTCGACGACTTCTAGCCAGCATCTGAGAAAAATATAACAGCGAATGCAAAGGGATGTTATGATAAAATTATTGGTTGCGTAAGACATTAGAGCCCCCCCCCTCCCCCTCCTACTCGTAACATAGGTGTGAAGAAGCGCTTAACCGATTCGTTGCGGCACCGATTTTCGACAACTTTTAGCTGTGACGACGAATAAATATTTCAGACGCCACAGATGTTGATGACATGCCTTCTATGCCAACAGCCATGTGTAAAAATAATTTTCTTTTTTATGCTTTTTCACTTGTTTAGACCTAATTAAGTTTAGTTGACATCAAACATTAGTTACAAACGGAAGGATACTTGGTCTTAGTGGGTAACTACGGGTTTTTCTACGTGTTTTCTTTGAAATTGAGAGTATGTGACATTTTTTATGCAGAGATTACAAACCTTTTGTACTATTTTTTGTTTTATAAAAAATCATTAATATATGTAAGTAGGTACAGCTAAATCACCCTGTAAAACCATGGTTTTTATTAAATTAAATTTTTACCTAATAATAACATTTGTAAATATCAAATAATCAAGAACCTTAATTTGGAAAAAATATGGTTTGTGATTCATTGATACTTACAAATGTTAGATATTATTTAATGTTATACAAATGTAAAGTCAATCTGAAAACGTCTAATTAGTAAGAATAGCAAAACAAGTGTTTTCAAAAGGAAAAAAAAACGCCGACGCTATACGGCGGCGGATTGACAAAAGACTCTTTATTAGCGAACTTTTTTTTATGCATGAAGGGTTTCCCGCTGTTTCAAGCAAAAATAAACCTTATACCATATCACAAGAGCACATGATACTTCGTAGATCTATTCGGCCATATGCTAGTAATAAGACGGCAGTTCAACCATTTTAAGCAAAATTTAACAATAATACAAACGCATTGTTTTTTTTTTGACTTGTTGAAAGACTTGTTTTCCAGAAATTTATTTACAACTTGAGTTTGTGAGCGATCGCAATGAGTGCTATTATTTGTTACTTATTAGACTATTTTTCCACAACATGATTTAAAACCCACAAAGTAAAAAGATTACCATGTACAAGTTAAAAAAAGGTTGTCAATCCCTAAAAATTTAAAATTTTCAAAATATCCAGAAACGAAGCTGTAGACATGAACTACTTGTAAAATAATGAATATTTTGTTCTGCATAAATCTTTCAAAACGCAATTTGAGCGAGTTATAACGATTGAAAAAAAAAAGACACGACTCGCGTGTCATACGCCACACAAAAATAATCTATAGCACGCCTGGCCTGCAATCCGCACTGAACCGGTTAATTATAACATGTCCGCATTTTATCATTTTATCCCCCATAGATGGCGCTTGATCAAAAGTACTCAGGATGGCGACACAGAAGAGCGTCAAAGTATTACAATTGCCCGTTCTCTTTATAAGCTGGGCAATTACCAACTGGCTCATTAGGTAGACGATCGCAGAAATGTGTCGTACTTTTTACACTGCTTACTACCGCCGGTCTGTGTATTTTACAACGAGTATATTTCAGTTATATCGTTATTCAACAAGTGCTATGAAATCTTCCTGGATTTCCTTTATTCTAGTCTTATGACAGCCAACGGATAAGGCAAGCAATGAATTATCTTACACAGCCATCCATAGTGAATAGAAATAAGAATTTTTTATTTTGACCTTATACAGGGCTATTTTGCGATAACCGGCCAAGAATATTTTATTAAAAAAAATCTCAAACATTCTGCCCTTTTTATCTTTTAAATTCAAAATGCGTGGTAATGCATTATTTTTACAGATTGTCATTCATAAATAATTAATGCCTACTATTTTACTACGCACGCACTCACACATTTGTAAGGGTCGATCGGTCGGAAAAACCGTTGTAATTTAATCGCACACGGATGAGCGCGCGTACGGGTAGTTGTAGCCCATAAATCACATTCAGTTTGGGATAATTTCAAATAAAAGTAGGAGCCTTATTTACACGTCCTTCCTAAAACTGTAATAACATTATATCATTATTAATATATTTGAACTTAAGTTTAAAATTTGGCTACTCTTTGAAAAATAACCCTGTATAATGTATTATCACCATTATAATATATAAACATTTACATTAGTTCTAACCCGCTTGCCAAGCGTGGGAGTTGTGGCAAATATTCCCATATGATGCCCTCATTATATATGAGGGAGGTCTATGTTCAGCAATGGACTTTAATAGGCTGTAACGGTATATATGTACATTAGTATACAAATTGAAGCAATATCACTATTATAATAACTGATTGACTGCCTCATTGATGTAAGCGAGGTAGTGGTAAGCGTGACTACTGATCATGTGGTCCCGTGTTCGAATCCCGGGTCGGGTAAAATTCAGTCAATGGGGTTTTCTGTCAAGAAATTCTCAGTAGCAGCCCGGAGCCAGGAAGTTGGCGGTGTTTCACCCCCGTGCCCAGCAAAGTGATCGCTTTCCGGTCGTGTCGGGTTGCCGTCCCGTCGGACCATGAGGGTGAGGGAATAGAGAATGCAGCTGTGCTTGCGCATTCCTGCACTCGGGCACCATAATTCTTTCCTGTGCAGGTGGCTAGTCTTCGTTGAGACTGGCCGTCGTGACTGAAATTCGGAGGACATTATTATTATGATAATAAAGGAATGTGACGCAGTCAGATTGAGAAATGAAATCTCAAATATTTATGATGTTATGTTTATGAATGATTTTTGATCATGGAGAAGCTTAAAAGTGAGTCGACAGATGAATTAAGCACTTCGATAAATACCTTTCAAGTCCATCTGATTTTTCTGGTGTCCAAGGTATTGATGATATTGTGCGTTTTAAAATATTCTTTGCTCGAGTCGGCTGTTTTATTATATTGTACCTGTAAAGTAATAGCATTCCTTGTATTATTTTGTACGTGGTAGAGCTATGCTGCAGCTGTACTATGATTACCACAAGAATAGTTCGCTCGCTCCGTTGGGAAAGGATCTCGCTCACATATAATAACCGCATAATACTGCTGTGTTTCATATGGTGCGTGACGTGACATAGAGCCTTTAATAGTAACATGGTATCCCATCTACATCCTCAGCCCTTTTGCTTCTTTCTGGCCCTATCGCCTTTACGGCACCCATAGGATGAAAATGGTCTCTCTCATCATCATCATCATCATTACAGCCTATCAAATTCCACTTCTAATCATAAGCCTCCTCTATAGATTGCCTCACGAGGGGGTATTTTCCACAGTTGCAACGCTTGACAGGCGGGTTAGGCGCCATTTACACTCACGGGATGATATGGGGTAGTGTATTCACTTACGCTGCCACTACACGGATACTTCTTCTATTAGATTGAAAACTGTAAAAGGATGTCTCAGAGTTCATGGTACGCAGACACTTATCATCATAGAGTTATATGTGGATTTATACTCTTTTTTAATAGAATAAGGATGACAAAGGAGGGCACAGTCTATCTGATTGTAAGTGAATGCTGTGGATCATAGACATCTACACCTATGTATCTTCGATTAAGATGCCACGTTTCCAGTAGAAAAGGTCTCCAATTCTACGCTCATCATAAGTATTAAAATAATAATTAGTATATTAGTAAAGTTAATATAATAATAATTCTTTATTAACATTTATATAGTTTACACACTTTTTACAAATATATAGGTACAATACAACATGAGGACCAATTCGAAATGGGTAGAATCCCGAGTCTCCTAGCTAGGTTACTTACTAACCTGTATTTAAAAGACACAGTCCTATCCCCCCACCCCCTTTTGATTAGGAAAGTTGTATTGTTTAAATTAATTTTAATTATTGCAGGAAAAGAAATAAAATTTTAAAATGATATAATAATATGAAATATATATGTAGCAATGCGACGTAATATTTTTTTATATATAGTAATGTTAACAAGTATTGCTACGTATCATCATATGACTTATTTTGCAGGAAAAAGCGGACAGCAGTTTTACAATAATTAAAAGTTGACATTCCATAAACCTCTATTTTAGCATTCATTTTGTTATAAAGTAGAGGACCTAGGTAATAAAAAAGAATTTTTGTAAATGAAAATTGACTAGTGGAAGTGTGCATAATTTGTCTTTACGACGTTTTGTAATTTCAATGAAAGGATTATTAATATGCTGAAGTAGTACTGTGTGCAGTATAAAGAGCTGCCTCGCACTAAGAACAGCGCAGTTTTGATATAGTTGAGTAGTTGGAACCTGGAAATAACATTAGTTTAAAAGTAGCAACCTTTAAGATAGCTCTTTGCGCAACTTCAAGTGGCTTTAATATTGTTTTTGCAGCACTACTCCAGCAAGAAATGATGATAGACTGACATAAAGCGTAATAAACGTTGCGTATAGTTACGGAATCGGTGACATATCGTAGTGTTTTGGATATTATATATATTAGTTTGCGAACCTTATATGTTAAGAGATATATATGTATTTAAAGTTAAGGTGTTTATCTAGTATAATACCGAGATACTTTATAATATCTACAGAATTTATCTGTGGAGACAGACAAGGAGAAGACTGAAGAGAACAAGAGTGAGCTTTTTACTTAATGGGAATATTTGATTGCGAGGTGGGACTGACAGAGAAGGTTATAAATTTTGTTTTGGAAGTATTAAGAGTAAGAGTGTGAGATAAAAGAAAGCCAATTACATATTCGATTAAAACTATGTTGTGATTTACTTTCAAGATCTGTCTAAGATGTTGAATGGAAACTAATAGCCGTGCCGTTTGCAAAAGATACGATTTTTGCGTGTGAAGATTGCACAAGTCATTAATTAAAAGAAGAAATAGAGTCAGACCAAGAATACTTCGGACTAAGAAACTGGGAGTTCGTCACCCATGCAATCGGATATTTTAACAATTTGTGTGCGATTTCTGTGATAACTTCTGAACTTTCTAAATGAATGGAAACAGGAATTGTGTCAAAGGCTTTTGCTAGATCAAGAAAATATTGTTAGGACCGTCTTATGACTATTTAGATTACTGACTATGAAATTTATTAATTCAGAAACTGCATCAGAAGTTGATTTATTTTTACGAAATCGATATTGTTGAGGTAAAATTAATTTAAAATGTTCAAGATAATTGACTAGTCTATTGTTCACTAAACGTTCTAGTACTTTAGATGAGGCAGATAGTGCAGCAATAGGGCACAGTTACAGTCTATATACGTCCCAATTCTGAGCACAGGCTCTCTCTCATTTTTGAGAGGGTTTTTAGGGCAATGAAATGTCCGACGCGCTGCCCCAATGCGTGTTGGCGAACTTCACATGTCTTCGAAATATTTTTTTCTTATTTCTTAGACATGCAGGTTTACTCACGATGTTTTCCTTCACCTCCGACCACGTGGTAAATCAGCACTTAAAATTGCAATTAACAATTTCATTGGTGCCGGCGGCGATCGAAACCGGATTGCTCGCGTACTGTCACAATTTACAGCTAGCGCTTAGCCCCTGTACTACCACGGCTCTATAGTATAGGCTTTTTATTAGTAGTAATTATATATTATTAAATTAGTTATAATATTATTTATTCATTACTATTATTAATATTAATTATTATTACTCATACACGAGTGAAGTCAAGTCTTACTTACGCGTTAGCGATGGCCAGTATTAAATATGGATCATCTTGGTAACCGTCTTCAGTAGCGAGTGGTAGTAAGTCTTGTAGAACTTTCTCAGCTTGCGACTTCTGTTTATTAGCTAGCTGTAGTAAGGCTTGAAGCGACTTCTTTTCAGCAGGTTCTATCTCTGTAAGGAGCTTCTCAGCAGTTTTTAAGGCTAAAAGCCTTGTTTCCCTGCATTTTAAGATATTAATTATAGGCCGACGAGGAACCATAAAGCAAGTAAGGACGATATGATACGTAGGTATGGTATAGAATCAATAATTTTCTCACGTTCTGGAAGTGTAGTTAAAGGTAACCAATTTTTATCCCTAAATCCATTTTGTTTCCCTTAATCTCACATAGACGTATTTTTATTAATATAACAAAATCTATCTTTTATTGCTTTAAATGCAAGTGGATATTATTTTTTTGGATTTTAATATTAGTTATTTATTTCCCACTATACAATAATTATCATTACAGGTTTGTCACCTAATGCGATAATGTAGATAAATATTTTTACAAACTACAATTACAATTACACAGCTACTATCTAATATTTATTGATCATATGTACATATTTCTACTACAAACACCATATCTATGTCACAGTAGGACCATAACTTATTTCAAAGAGTTCTCTCACTATTAACACACCCAGAGTACAACAAAATAGATCTGTGTCTTCTGCTATACAGTTGAGGACATGGAGTTCGCGCGTAAACGGCGCCTCATTCACCAGCTATGATCATATCCAGATCTTATCTCTATATATATACAAAAAACAATTGCTGTCCGTTCCGAAAATGACTCGACTGATTTTGATGAATTTTTTGTGTGTGTTTACAGCGGGTCCCTGGATATTTTAGATACACAATTGGACCCGGTACGACGCACTATTGTCGAGATCCCGAAATCGCCTGTGAGAAGCCTGAGCAGGTCACTTGTATACATAATATTAGCTGATACCCGCTCGCTTCGCTGGGCGCACGATAATATTTTATTGCGGAACCTATTACATTTTTTTTGAAGGGACTATCCTAAAATTCATTCAAAGTGAGCGTCTACATTGCGAAATGAGTAACTATAGTAAATTTCAAGTCTATCGGGTGTATAGTTTTAGAGATCTCGTGATGAGTCAGTCAATCAGTATTTCGCTTATATATATAGATTACATAGGCTGCACTAAAAGTATCGGGAATGGAATATTTCCACTGTTCCTGTCATATTAAAATCTTTTTAATTAAAAACCCCTTGGTTTTAAAAATCGAATACCATTTATTTATTTAAAAAAAGATTCTCGGTCTTGTCACAAGGTTTTGTCAAACTTGTTTAGTCGTTGAGAAAATGAAATTGACTCGAGAAAATTCAAGAGCGATGATTTATTATGATTTTCGAAGTGGTTTAACACAAAAACAGTGTGTTGACCGGATGATTTCTGCATTTGGTGATGAAGCCCCATCCAAAACCACAATTTATCGCTGGTTTGCTGAATTTCAACGTGGAAGTGTCAAGCTCTATGATGATGGGACCTTTTTTCATAAATGTAAATGGGATTAACCTATATAATAAAATAATAATTAAAATCGGTTCACAATTAGCTAACATATTGTGTAAAATACATAAAAAAAACATCCAGTCAAATAAATTAAGGGATTCAGTGGCGCAGTGGCTTAGCAATGAGTTGCGGCGCTAAGAGTCGCGGGTTCGAATCCCGCATGTAACAAGTATTTGTATGACTTACAAATGATTGGTCCGGGTCCGGATGTTTGTTCTTGAGAAATGTATGTATGTCCCTCTACAATACAGGTAAAATTCTAGTGTGGAAGTAATGTTTTAAAAAAAAATCAGAACCTCCTCTTTGTTCAAGTTTAGTAAAAAGGTGTCATGGCGGTACGTACGAATGTTGGTGCGGGTCGTGCGCGTGCTGCGACAGACACAGCAGCGCCATGCGGCGCGCAGCGCTGCGCGACCACGGCGCAGCGCGCCGCGCCACGTTCAGCTGCCGCAGCGCTGCGTTCACCTGCCCCGAGTACACCGACCACAGCCCGGCGCAGTAGTTGTACCCTAGTGTAAGAGCTCAATAATGTGGTACACGTGTTAGAGCCATGCTGCAGTTAGACGTAGGTCACTCAATAAGTTTTGAGATGCTCGAAATCTAAAAATGGACCGCACCTGTCAGATCAAGACTGGCAAAAGTGTTTTCAGAGTTGGTTTAGGCGAATGGAATTTTGTATAGAGCATGATGGAGAATATTTTGAAAAGATGTAAAATAAATATCAATAGTATCTAGAATACTTTTTGTATATCTCAAAACTTATTGAGTCACCTACGTATTATGGCTGTAGTACGAATGAGTCGGCTCGATCAGGGAAGGACTACGCTCTCACAGAATACCAGCGTAAAATAGCAGCTTAATGCTGTCGTGTTTCGTATGGTGAGTGTAGAGAACCGGAGACCCTTTTTACTGGAAAAGAAGCATTCCATCTTAGTCCTCACGGGTGACAACGCATCTGCTTTTTGATTCGTAATCGAGAATAGATGCAGATGTCTATGGGCCACAGCAACCACTTACCATCAGATGGACTATGTGCTCGTTTGTCACCCTCATCCTATAAAAAAAGGATAGTGGATGTCTATAGGCCACAGCATCCACTTACCTTTAGGTGGGCTGTGTGCTAGCTTGTGCACCATTATTCTATAAATAATTTAAAATTAAAAATTTTGTACAGCCGACTTCAATATAAGTTATTTAAGAATAACTAAAAAACTATTGGTCTGACCTTGATCAAATTCATGTGGGACCACACGAGAAGTACCAGCTTTCAAATAAAAAAAGAATCATCGAAATCGGTTCACCCAGAAAAAAGTTCTGAGGTAACACACATAAAAAAAAACGAAAAAAGAAAAACATACAGTCGAATTGAGTACCGGCTCCTTTTTGGAAGTCGGCAGAAAACAAGCTAATTTTACGAATTTTTTTTGCGTTTTACTAACTTATTTTATATTCCCTACGTTTCGTCATACCAAATAAATGAAGTTGAGATCGTCAATTTGAATTTTAGCTTTGCGGGTATGTAGTTAAGGTGCTGGTCATATCATATATTTATATAGAAAAGAATGCCATAAATTATTTTTCCCTCAATCGTTGTATTTAAACCATGAAAAAGTAATTCTAATATCCAAATCGCATAATCTAAATATTTTGTTATAATTTTGTTAAATACAATAATGGTATCAGTCAGCAGTTGCAGTACAGTATCATTCGCGCGGGAGTAGTTGTTCACATCGCCTGTGCCTAACGTACATGTATCTACTCCCTGTGTACGAGTAGTCTGTGTGCGTGTGACCGAACAGGCCAGCTTCGCGGCAGTACGACGTAGCGTTAGCGCTATTGTCAAGCCTCTACCATTCTTGCTACCTGTGTGAAATAATTACCTACAATCGCGAGGCGCCCCCGGGATACAGCACAGCCTAGGCTAGCGCGTTCTAGGCGATTGAATGTTAAAGATTTTAACGCTGTTTAATCTGTCAAGTTCTGGTTTTATAGATGAGATAATCCAAGGTCATCTTTTTTATAACCTAGCTTCACAGCTCTGGGTTCTAGCCCTTCTGAGCCTGAAGTTACAATGTATAATTATCCTTCATAGTACACTGCTTCACAATTTGTTGATGCGTCACATTGTGCAACCCTTGGGAGATTTTGAAGGCAAATTGAGCCAGCAGACAAGTTCCCGCCAAAACTCTTCCAATGTCACCTTTGTAGAATCCTCCAGAGTATGGTAATATTTAGAAAGGACCCCTCAGAATCAAAGAGTATATAATACGTTTAGTGAGAACCATAGTTAAGAGTGCTCAGAACAATTCTTTTTTAAATGCTGTTTATAAGAATTATACAACTAAAATTTTACTAGAATTAGTTTTGTTACTGAATTACGCTTCTCTAAATTAAGGAATTTACTTCAAATGACGAGTTTGCGCCTTTACCTACGCGACGCGTTTACTTCACATACTTTAGTCTATTTCCTTCGCCGCGTGAGTGTAAGAGACAACTACAAATTTAAAAAAAAATTAAGTGGATACAAAAGAAAGTTTGTTGTTAGTATTTTATATAAAAGGTAGGTAATTACAGTTAGTCAGTTAAGTGATTTGCTTATAATTGCTTCGTAACAATTTTATACACTTTATAAAATTTCCATTTCAAATACTGTGTCGTTCACATATCACTTTATATTTAATAGTCAGAAGTAACTGAAAATTAAATATAAAGTGTGAGTTATCACTATAAATCATGTAAAAAACATACATTTTCATATTCCACAAAGTCCAATGTGCGAAAATTACTTTTTATGTTATAATTTCGATATATAGTGAACATTATGGCGAAGTTACTTTCAACGATAATTTAAAATTAAAAATTTTGTCCGACTTCAATATAAATTATTAAGAACAACTCAAAAACTATTGGTCAGACCTTGATCAAATTTATATGGGACCACATGTGAAGCACCAGCTTTCAAATAAAAAAGAATCATCGAAATCGGTTCACCCAGAAAGAAGTTATGAGGTAACACACATTAAAAAAACATACAGTCGAATTGAGTACCTCCTCTTTTTGAAGTCAGTTAAAATGGGTTGATGGATTCTTTTAGGCTGTCGACATGTCTGTAGAAAAATGGCGTTGGTCTAAGATAGCGTAATAAAGTATATGCCTATGATTGAATATTTTTTTAATTTTTTAGAGGCTTCTACTGAGTATATTGATATATAATTATTTCTCTTCTTTATGAAAATTGATATTGTTACGCGCCACTATTAATGTCTTGTACATGGCAACACTAGTTACACTAGCGCCCCCTAGTGTCGAGTAAATGAAAGTATTGCGCGCCACTATTAATGTCTTGTACATGGCAACACTAGTCACACTAGCGCCCTCTAGTGTCGAGTAGCAGAACTAGGAGAGTCGAGATCCTTCCAGAAATTTCGGGACCGATATGTACTCGAACATTCTAGATGTCGCTACAGTAGAAGGTTCTGGAAACTATCTGAGGCCCTATATAAGACCGGTATAGACCACGACCGGGGCAGTATTGAATTGGCGATACAAGAGAATACTTCGAAGCGAAATAACGGCGAACTGTGTTTTATTATTAGTGTGATTTTAGATTGTAATTAGTGTTGTGTGATTAAAGTGTCAATTTTGGTAATTCAATCGGCAGTTTTTAATTGTCTTGAACCCCAAGCTCGTAACAATATTATTCCCCTCTGTCAGTTCTCTTTCATTATTAATTTGATGCCCACCAAATTTTCTTTTTGTCATATCCCACTTTGGGTAAGAATTTTCGATTAAAAATAAAAGTTCGTCGTCCAGCTCACAAACTCTGACAACACGTCTCACTCGCGCAAACGCCTGGCGATCAACGTGAACTCAAGCGCGCCCAATCGCACCGACTGCCGCTCTCACGCCTGCGTCTTCTACGTGAACAAGCACTAAGAGGGAGAGGTACTACTTCAAAGTAGTTAATAAAAACCATTTTATTTTTGCGCGTGTATTTTAGCTAATAAATTTGCTTATCTCTTTATATTTATGGCAAAATATCTATCTAAATATGCTGAACGCAAATTCTACAAAACTAGCGATAAGAGAGTATAGACAGTGTTTGCAGCCTTTCGGTGCAAGTGAGCTCAGAGTTCGGTGAAGCTGTTAAAGTCGCTTGGCTGACAACACAAATCATAGAAAAACGACGAATAAAGATAGGAGTCTATAGCAGTTCAGAGTCACTTATGCTTATTAATGCTGCTCATCTATCATTAATATCGTTAAAACTTTCAAGAAATGCAAACATGTCGCATTTTCACGGGAAACCAGTAAATTAAGGAATCTGAGTAATAAAAAAAAAGAAAAATTGCAATACCTGGATCATCCAGATTTTCCAGAGAATTTTTAGCGGTCTCCAACGCCTGCTCAGCTTCAACGAGCTTACCCCGACGCCACTGAACTTCAATCAACTGAGCTAACGCCTCCCAACTCATTGGTTTCACGGATAAGATCTGGTTTAAATGTCGCTGTGCGGTCTCGAAATCTACCTAAAATAAACAAATAATATACATTGTTTACCGTTAAACCTGGCAACTTTGCCATTTTTGGAAGGACTTAAAAGTTTGAGACCAATTTTCCAACAAAAATGTACTGTCAGACTTTGCGTCAATGTTAAACGTGACATTATATTCTTCATAGATTTGGTATTTATTAATGATTTAAACAAATGCTAACATTAAATAGACCAAATACTCAAAAGTAAAAAGTGAAAAAGTTAACCTCACTTTGTGGCAACTTTGCTATCAGGGTTTATAATGAAAATAATAGGATTTGACTTCAAGCAACTTCAAGCTTAAAGGTAAGTTTACCTTATAATACACAAAACCCAGAGTTATGATTTGCTTCTTTAATTGTTTTGCAAATAGTAAAGTTTACGCTTGTGGCAAAGTTGCCCTTCTATTTTTCTATTTTTCATACAACCTTGAAAATATGTGTCAGGGTTGTCAAAACTCCTTGATTACATACTTAACTTAATTTATTTATTTAAATCTTGTCACAATAATTTCTTAAGAAAAAATCTAAAATATATCAAACAAAAATACTCTCGTCTAAAATTAAAAATAAAATTAGTGCAATAATAAGCTTAACCTTTAAGTGCCGACGTGCGGTCTGAGAGGCCCCGGCGGGCACTTGACTTGGTAGTTTACCCCTTTCCCCGCGTAATACCGATCCCCGCTTTTAAGTAGCTGCAAGGATAGTGCCCAAGTTAACGTCAGAGTAGGAAGTGGTGTCGTTGTACGCGCATTTGGTGAGTAATTACGATTTGAAATTCCGACGCGGCCTCTCAGGCCGCACGTCGGTACTTACGTAACTGTTTTGTTTTATTTATTTTTTAAGGTAAACTGTTATTTTGACAGATATTGTGAATTATGGATGTACTAGAGACTGCAAGTTGTAAAAGAAATAGTTCTGCGATCGATTTACAGCAATCAAAGAGATCTGAACACCGTGAACTAAAGATGAGTTTGGCAAGAGTACTTGATTCTGATAAGCCAGAGACATCTGAAAATGAAGCTGAGGAAGTCAAGACACGTAAGACTTGTCTCTCACGTCAACGTATACTGAAAATAAAATCGATATATAGATGCATTTCGTGCAAAAACACGTTTTTTACAGTGCGCGTAGCAAGTACGATCTGACTGTGCGGTCAGATTTTAAGGTGTAGTTGGACTGTGGTAATTTTTTTTTCAGAAGCTTTATGTTCCTAAATTTTTTTTATATAAAAGTTATATAAGTCATAAGTAAGAAATACAATTTTTTCTTATTCTGAAGATTATTCTTTGTGTTTTGATTTTTTATATCTAATAGTCGGATTTTTCCCCAAAATTCAAGCCAAATATTATTGTAGTCTTATATTTAAAAAAGTTGAATTTCATTTTATACTTATTTTTACTTAAAATCCCTTATTTTTCATCATAATGCAAAGACGGATATTTAAATCATCACTTTCTTTAAAAACACTACATAACATACGCGGTTTCTCAGGCCTCACGTCGGTACTAACGTTACAAAAAATGTACGTCGGTACTTAAAGGTTAAATCGATTATAGTACTTATAGAAAAAAAAAAAAAACTTGTTACAATCATTTTTAACAAGTATTCGTTTTTTTTTATTAGTCATCATCACCACTTTATTACGAGTCGTAATAAAATAATTTCAGGTCATAATTATTGTACTCAATCTAAATATTGTTTTCCCACAATAGCAAAACATTAATAATCATTATAAATGACAATTAATGTTTTAATTGTCATTTTAAATAATAATTATTATTATTTTGCTATTATTATTAGTTTAAATCGTCAAAAATGACAATGTTTTGCTTAATATCAATAAGTTGAAATTATGAAAAATACTGAGTAGTAATAATATCATTAATGTCCGACAACGCAGTAAAAATAATATAGATTTCTCTATTCTTTTCCTTCACTTTTAATAAAGATGAATTGATTGACGACTCATTTAGTAAAATCGGTCTAATGGGCTGCAGCGGTGAAACATCGATACAAATATACATACATAGAATATCAAGTGCAGAACACTGTTTAAATAGTTGTAATCGTTTAAAAATATAGGTTGAAAGCAACAACCCATGGTTGTAACAAAACATGGCAAAGTAACCGTCACATCGTGCCATCACTAGTATGGTAACTTTGCCAAGTTAATTTTATAGATTAATGTTAACCAACATTTTAATAACAAAGATTATATATATATATATACCTGCATTCAGTATTTCAAACAAAAAAAAATTAAACTTCTGGGGCACTGAACAAAGAGGTTATTTCGCCGGCACAATTCCGCGTTAAAATAAACCTAGCAAGCTAACAGCATAGCAAAGTGTCGAAGCAATCAGCTTTGTAGCGGTTTCTAACGGTTGCCGTTGAGCAATCAGTTTCAAAATAGGAGGTTCAGATGCCTGGGTAATCAGTAATCGATTGCTGCAAACAGAATTTAAAAATTCGAAACCGTTCTCGAGATAATCGTGGGACAGACGGACAGACGGACAGACATCGTGAAATCAATAAGTGACTTCGCAAGCTTCGCCACTTAATAAAATGCGAAAATTAACTCTCATGTTGCCATATCGAAAGCAATTCTGTCAATTACTTATTGTATTTTCATCTCTCATTATCTCAAAAAACGTTACGTTTTCCACGTTTTTGCACGGAACGCGTGTACATGAAAAAGCAGGTAGTATTATGTCTTTTTTTTTTTCATATATTAAGTTATATAATAAGTTACACATACTCACGCTGATTCACCCGCATTAGGTGTGCACCGTTTTAACATATTCCTTTACCTGTCTCATGCAATCTATCCAAAATAGATTTGTAAATGTTGTAGTTTAAACTTTTCTCTTACGTTAAAATAATATAGCACAATATTATTTACCTTTCGGAAGGCCAAGTCCGCCATCATGACCGCCGCTGATTCGTTGTTAGGATCTGTGTTCAAAAGAACGGCACAGGTCTGTTCGCATTTCTCCGGGTTGTTCATCTGTATGCAAAACTGTAAAGGTTATTTTAGGAAAGAAAAAAAGAAATTCTCTTATATTTTATGCTCCGCAAGATAGTACATAATTATATCACGAAACCAAAATTTTGAAAGTAACTCATTATATTTTTTTTATTTAATTTTAATTTCTCAATGAAGTTTAAACGCTTTTTATTCAATTTATTCTAATATAAAATAACTTACAAACGCATACAACTTGGCTAAAGCCAGCAATGTATTGGCATCCCTTGGCGAGTGAATCAGAGCTTCGGAATACAAACTTGCCGCCACACCAGGCTCTTTCAGAGATTTTGCCTTGGCCAACAAACAAAGAATATATGCCAAATGCTGTTTTTCTTCTTGGATATCACCTCTAGAATCTATTTCTACCCTTTTCACAATTGCGATTTGTAGATCTTTCGCTTCTGTGAGAATTAAATGAGTGTTCCCAGCAGTTGGGTTTTTCAATTCTCGGGTCTTTGATTGTAGAAGAAGAAGGCGGATACGCCTTTTTAAAGTTGCGATATCTTTGCCTTTATTGAACAATTGATTGAGGTCACTCGATATTGTCGTGTCAACTTTGTCATACTGTTTAAGCTGTGGATACAAACATTTACAAAACTAAATTAATGTTTAAATCAAGATTTGATGTTTATTGCAATATAGTCAGCAATTCATTCTTGGGACGATGTATACGCTTTTAAAATTTGACCTCCGTAAAGTACAATCACTTTATTTAACAAAGTTTGTACAAATGTGGTTATTATAATATTAAGGAATTTATGGATGATAATATCCCCTGGGAATGAAGTGATCGCTACCAAACTATTTCTAATTTGTTTTGTGTTGTTAATTGTGTAACATTTACGATTGTAAACTGTTCTTTTTTTTTTAAACCCCGACGTGTTTCTTGCTGGTTCATTCCAGGACAGGAGGTATTTGTTGAACCAGTGGTAAATTAAACATAAAAGTGACTTTCAATAAGTATTATTTATAATCTATATTGAATAAAAAAAAGTCTATTTCTATTTCCCATGTATAGGTTTTTGGCGGGAACTTGACCAGCGGCGGTTTGTTGCTGCTGTTTTATTGTTTAAATAATGGTTTGAAGTGGACTTTGATATGTAAAAGTGGTGCGTTTTTGTGTATTAAGTATCTGCGCGTGTGAACTATTATTGGAAACTGTGAAACAAGTGCTCCGATAGTGATATGATTCTCAAAATAAGGTGCCTGTCTGCTAAGGCGCCTTGAGATACCATCGCCAACCGTCAGCTGTCTGCTGGTTCAAGTTACCGTCAAAATCTCCCAAGGGCTGCGCAATGTGACGCATCAACATATTGTGAAGCAGTATACTATGAAGAATAATTATTATAATATAATATTGTAACTTCAGGCTCAGAAGGGCTAGATCCCAGAGCCGTAAAGCCAGTTATCAAGAAGAAGTTTGTTAGGTTTAGGTTTAAAGACATTTATTCTCATAAAGACATTATATACGCCACTTACATGAGAACATAATTTAAAATAAATCTAAATAACAAAAGTTGTTGTCGTACGTTGAAAAATCAACATCAAAAACAGCTATTGACGGGAAAAATCTATACAAATAAGGAAAAGTTATAAAATGACAACAGTCACTCACAAATTCTGGGATTCACTATCACCTTAGCACCATAATGCAAAACAATGTTTTCATTGAACAGATGGATGCCACCTTTGAGGACAGAGGTGGAAGTCGTATAGACCGTAATTATTATGTATATGTACCGCGAAGGTTAAATGAGCCAGTAAATTGGTTATCTAGCCATTCATATAATTTCAATTGAATGTTTTAAAGAAGCTTAGCCAAATTGCTGAACTATTTTATATTATTCATAATGATTATAGTAAAAGGCTTAGCATTAAGTTGAACGCCGGCGTTTAACTAATGGTCCAGGCAGCCGCCTATCGGAGGCTATATGACTGCAATAGTTTCTTGTCGTTGTAGCCTCTTCAGATGAGTTATGCTCATGGATTCTCTCAATGAAAATTATCACATCTCTCTTATAGGAATTTTCCTGCAGTGCTGCCCTGATTTTTCATCCACAGTCCAATCCTGGACACAGTTCTTTCTTCCTATGAGATGCCACTATACTTGACATTCCTCCCTTTTTCTTTACCCATAAGTCATTACAACACATCATTTTACAGTATGTTGTAAAATGCTACTGTAATAAATTTCATAATTATAAAAGAAAGCTAATATTATACATACTTTGATAAGAAGTTCGAGATATTCGAACTTAATTTCGTCTTCGTTCAAAAGTTTAATAGAATTTTCATAATGTTGAATTGCTTTGTCATAGTCATGCATTTTAACGAGTGCTGTGCCAAGTTTTTTCACCAATTGAATGTCTTTTGGGTTTCCTCTGAGCGCCATTTCATACGAATCTGCTGCTTGCATGGGTTCTGAAAATTTAAACAAATTAAAAATACCTTGTCATTAATAGTAGTTAGAAATTTATTAAGGAATAAAATGAGTTTATACTTTTGTAAATATTAATAAAAATTAAGTTAAGCTTAATTTTGATTATTATTTATGCGATTAAGTCTACCCAGGCTATCTACACCCTATTTAAGGACTATTTGCAAGTTCAGACTCAAAAACCCAAACCATTGATCTTGAATTGGATTTAATGCATAATTAATTCATGTTCACATGCATATTAATTATGCCTCAAATGATTTATTCTCGAGCAACCCACCCTGGTTTGGGCTTTGTATGGGTAAGATCTTTTAATGTGACGTTACTTAGATTTAAGATAATTAAATACCATTAAATTTTTTTTATAGGATAGAATGACAAACGAGCATGCAGTCCACCTGATGGTAAGTGGTTGCTGTGGCCCATAGACATCTACATTTATGCAGATGCGTTGCCATGAGCACTAAGATGGAATGCCTCTTTTCCAGTAAAAAGATCTCTACACTCACCATACGAAACACAGCAGTGTTATGCTGCTATTTTACGCTGGTATTCTGTGAGAGCGTGGTCCTTCTCCGGTCGAGCCGACCCATTCGTGCTACAACTATACTAATAATATACCTGCAGCATGGCTCTATCACGTAAAAAAGATTATTAATATATCTTTTTTATTTAAAAAAAGCTCCAAGTTTTTCGAACAAAATATAGTATAGACCACTCTTGGTATTGCACCTTACCTGTGCGTGAAGTTTCATTGAAATCGGTTCAGTGATTTCACAGATTACCCCAGACAGGCAGACAGACAGACATACAAAATTTTAAAAATGGTTATTCATGTCTTAATGACATGCTAATAGTCCCCTTCGATATTACAGACTGACACATCAATTTAATTTATATGTATAGATGTATACAGGTCGTAACTTCACTAAAGTGTGGACTTACAAACTTACACGTTCGCACGTCGCACAACAGTTCTTGTCAATGTGCTTTCTTTGCCATCTAGTCCAAAAATCATCAAAATAGTTTTACCTGTACTTACCATGTATGGACATAAATGCATCACCCATCATTGTGTGGGCATCACTCATAGGCTGATTGCTGACAATTTCTTTGTAGCATGCAGTAAACTTAGTTCTATCTTTCTTTTCTTTCAAATATATATAAGCCATTTTGCTATGAGCTTGAAAGTAATATGGTTGACCTGGTTTTACTTCGTTCAGTATGTCAATTGCATTATCAATGTCACCTTTCTTGAGTGCTAAGTCAGCTCGTGCAATGAGCAATCTGCCTTCTTCTGAAGTGTATGCTATTTCTTGTATTGCTTCCTTCAATAGAAAAATTATGAAAATTAAATTATTTTGGTTTTTCACTCCTATAGTATCTCGTATTGTTTATAATATAAGATTTTCCTCCACTTAAGTGTTCGCCGTGTAGTGGCGGCATAAGAATCCACTAACCCATATCATCTTATAGATATATAGGGAACCTGAATTAGGAGATGGGTAGCACCATCTTCTTGATACTTACTTACTTACTTATCTTCACGCACAATCCCTGACGGGGTAGCCAGAGAGAACAGATCGCCAAGTGTCACGATCCTTACATACCTCTTTCGCTTCTTTCAGATTCATTATCTTCTTCATACATGCACGTCTAGGTATCCGAGTACTCTTGACCCTACCCTCTTCGAGCAATTTGCTCACATGTTATCACAAAAATTGATAAGGGCGTGCTTCGGTGGTTTGGGCACGTTGAGCGAATGAGTGAAGACCGTATGGTGAAGAAAATATATAGCGCGAAAGTTAATATTAAAAGGTGTCGAGGTAGACTGAGACTAACTTTCGAAGACCATCTTCTTGATAACCATCGATATATATGTATTACGCACTAGATTTCGCATTCCGAAAATTAACTATGATTTATTCAATTGAACTGTACTGCAATCCGTACACTAAACTAAATATTGCGTAAATTGAAGATTTGTGAATTGCATAAGATAATTATTATTACATTTTATTTAGAAATATGTTTGTTTAGATTAAATTAAGAGTCTTTTATATTAAATTTTTATATTTATTTTATATTAATATCTTATTTTATATTACCTAAATTAAAGTCTTCGCGCATACGCGACTCTACTGTCCCCCGCGCATGCACGAAGACATAGAGTAGCACACAATTTTTGTTTGGAATAGCTTCTCTAGTACGTAGTACATATAACCCAATGTTGATAAGTATAAAAACAATTGCTACTGCCAACCGATGTAACTGCGGTTGCCAACCGGTCTGCTAAGTGTGGCAACTTTAGCAAATATCTCCCCTGAGGCCTATGTTTAGCAGTGCACTTTTAATAGGCGATAATGAGTAATGAATGAAATTGTAAGACTTGAAATTAAATGAATTGAGTGATAAATAATAAAAAATAGTAAAAATAACAAGCATTATATAGAACAAAACAGTGTAAGATTTCGTACTGATATATTATTGTCTAATTTTTTTTTTTATAAGATAAGGGTGATAAACGAACACACAGGCCACCTGATGGTAAGTGCTCTATTACAAATCAAAATGCAGATGCGCTATCACCCGTGAGGACTACGATGGAATGCCTCGTTTCCAGTAAAAAGGGTCTCCGGTTCTCTACTCTCACCATACGAAACACAGCAGCGTTAAGCTGCTATTTTACGCTGGTTTTCTGTGAGAGCGTGGTCCTTCCCCGGTCGAGCCGACCCATTCGTGCTACAACTATACTACTAATATAGCTGCAGTATGGCTTTACCACGTAAAAAAATAGCATAACAAAGATAAAATCACTTTATCATACAAGTTTCTTTACTCATGTGATATTATATTGCATGCACATGCTATCCTATTTTTGAAAAAGGCTAAATCTACTATCAGTCCAATTATGTATTTTTTTTATTTTCGGACCTCAAGACCGAGCGTGCGCTCAGCCGCCCGAGTTACCTCAAGATATGGGCCGGACAGAAAACCAGATTATATCCATCACTGAGACCGGTCCTTTTTTTAAAGTTTATTTTCTTAAATTTTTAATTTTGGTGAATATTTCGTTTTATTTATCTTTTTGCATATAATTACTTTTTTACATGTTGTGTTGCAAGCTTAAACTCGAATATACATATTTCTTTTTTTTTTCTTGAAATTATACTAACAAAAGCAATTATTGATAAATTAAAAACAATGTTTTTGCACGCTGTCCTCTAGATGGTAAGTGGATGCTTGGGTCCATAGACTTATAACCTCAATTAAAAATCAAAATGTATTTCTTACAGTAAAGAGGGTGTTGTTTTCAACAGCCTTATGCTACTATTTTACACCGGTATTCTGTGAGAGTGTGATCCTTTCCCGGTGGAGCCGACTCATTCGTGGTACAACTATAATATATCTGCAGCATGGCTCTACCACATAAAAATATTAATTAGGTACTAATGTGAAATATTCTACAAATAGTGCAAAATGATGAAATTAAAAATCACCTGCATAGTTTTTCCTGCTTCACCAAATTGACCCAAAGTGCTTTGTACTTCTATAATTTCCAGATATAAAGTGGCCTTGTCTATTATATTTAAATCCATTTCATAGGAGCGATTAACATTGCTTACAGTATTTTTAGATGTAAGTATTTGAAGACTAGTGGTATAACTTGAAAGAGCATCTTGTAGTTCATTGACATTTTTTAAAATGACTCCAGTGAGAAAATGATACATTGCACTGTCCCTTACTTTAAAGTTGTAACTCAAACACATCTCAAGGCACTGGGCCGCTTTTGTAAATGCCTGTTGTTGAACATAAATTTGGGCTAAAAGAACCTGGCTACCAGCATGAGTGTTGTCCAAATCAGTAATCTGTTGGGCCAGCTTTTGAGCGTCATGTACATACCCAAATAAAAACTTTAGTTTAGCTAACTCATACAAAGCTGGTATCAAACCAGGGCATGCTTTATATATTGTTTCTAAAAGCTTGAAACACTTGCTCACTAAATCACTGTTCCCTTCTTGAGAGTACAATAAGTAGCTGGTTATAACAAATGGTTTCTTAGGTAAATGTTTTTTATACTCTTTGTAAAGTTGTAATAAAAAATCAGGATCTAGGTTTTTAACATACAATAAGCTGAACGGATATTGTTCAGCCAATGATATTTGAGTTGATGAAGCATTATTTAGAAATGGTATTGCATTAGCATTTGTGGCATTCAATTGAGCAGACAAAAGATACAAAATAGGTAATTTTTCATTGCCTTGCATTTCTAACAATAATTCAACTTGCTGTGCAATCTGCTCATTAGGACCATTTTCAAACATTTGACAAAGAGTCAAACCACACAAAGCGGTTATAGAATTGCTATCTATTTTACTGGCAGCTTTAAAAAAGTTATGTGAATCCTTTATTTTGCCTTGAAGTAAGCACTGGTAGCCCACCTCACTCAGATAATCAACATTATTGGAATACATCTCTGAGGCATACTGTGCGAATCTGTATACTTGGGAAAGGACTGCACTTGATCTGCCACAAACTCTGGAAAATATTTGTGCTGTGTTGTAGAATTGGTAGCCATTATTATTTTCCTCATTTTCTAGTACTGTAAAGAAACTATTCAGTTGGTCAACTGCTTCTATGTAATCGGAATTCTTGCACAGTGCTATAAATATTCTGATTTTAAGGGCTTCAACATTATTAGCATCATAATTTAATATCCTTTCCACTGTATCATAAACTGCTTCCCACTTCTGCATGGCAAAGTCGTTTCTCAATTTTTCTATAAGCGGTACCACTTGTCCTGGGCTGCTTACTATAAGTCTATCTAATGTCAAGTTGGACCCATCATAATCTTTAGCAAAATATTTAAATTTAGCTAATCCAAGTACAGCTTCAACGTTTTTGTCATTTTTGTTTAAAGCAAATTCTAAGTTATCTAAAATAGATGAGTGAACTTTTCCTACATTTGTATACATTTCATTCAAAGCTTTTAAAGTTATGGCATCTAAGTTATTAGAGTCTTTTCTTAGCGATTTATTAATGTATTCAGATGCCTTATCATACTTCTCTGCTAGTGATAGAAACATTCCAGCAAAGTAAAGTGAAACAGCAGTTGCCTGTTTCCTTTCTTCTTTTAATTTTGTTTCAAAGTTGTACACATCATCTCTTTCTGTAGCACTAAGGAGTTTATAACCATAAATAATAGCTATTAAGGCAGCATGTTGAAATTTCTTATCAGACTGAAGTGGAGTGAGTTCATTTATACCCTTTTGTGATTGACCTTCAAGAACATTTGTTATTCCATGATAAAATATAAATTCGGCAGAATCAGCATACTGTAACAGGGCCTGTTTAGCTATTTTTCTTACTTTACCATAACATTTTTCTCTTAAATAATATTGAATATTGCAACGATACCAAATAAGATCCATATCCATAATTAATAATTTATTATAATAATTACTCCATAACTTTCTTATGAAGCTCTGTACCCAGCAGTGGTATATATATTAATTTATATTTGTACTATTCTAGTTGAATATTGACACTAAGTCCTTTGTAATTAATTTTATTATCATTGTAGTATTTAGCAAGAAAGTGACACTTGCATATCACATCTAATTTATTATCCAAGGCGTAGTCAAATGCATACTGTGAACAAGTTGATAAAATTATATTTAAGAGAATATCAATCATATCATATGAATAATATAAATTGTTTATTTAAGAAAATTATCAAAAACACTACAAATAAAAATGAAAGCTGCAGAAGCCTTTAAAACAATGGATAGATTTTTTTTTTATAGGATATGGGTGACAAACGAGCACACAGTCCACCTGATGGTAAGTGGTTGCTGTGGCCCATAGACATCTACATCTATCCTCGTTTGCGAATCAAAATGCAGATGCGTTGTCACCCGTGAGGACTAAGATGGAATGCCTCGTTGCCAGTAAAAGGGTCTCCGGTTCTCTACACTCACCAAACGAAACACAGCAGCGTTAAGCTGCTATTTTACGCTGGTATTCTGTGAGAGCGTGGTCCTTCCCCGGTCGGCCCGACCCATTCGTGCTACAACTATAATATAGCTGCAGCATGGCTCTACCACGTATAAAAGATTATTTTAATACTGACCTTTCCTAATATTTTTCCAACACCTTTTCCTTGAAATTGTTGAGGTACATTTGTATGAATGAAAGTTATACTCCTGCCACTCTTTTCATAGTCAATTGTCGCTTCTGCTACAATATAATTATGTAGAAATAAAATAATGCATATAATCTTATATATATCATACACACAATACAGTATTTCTGCGAATAATAAAGTGACCATAATGATTTCTTATATTTACGCGAAGACTACACATTAAATGAAAATAATTTTTACGGATTTTATCGCGTCTAATTTAACTTTTTAATTCCCGACGTTTCGGGTGCTTTACAGCTTTTTGCTTTGTCTTTCTTACATAGGACAAACAAAAAGATCTATTAAAACCCGCGTGAAAGAACATATAGCTGACTTGAAGCACCGACGTTCCGGGAAGTCTGCTTGCAGTGTGTGAACATGTTCTAGATTGTCCCCGCCATTACATTAGATTTGATAGACCACAAATCCTCGCAAAAGAACACCGATTCCTACCAAGGATGATTCCCGAGGCTAGTGAAATTAAAAACACCCTAATTTCAATAGAGAAGATGGATGGGTGCTACCATCGCTTGGGATCCTATAATTAATAAAATTAAATCCAAACCCAAGCATACCACTGCAAGACTTCAAGATACTGTAAGCTCGTTCTGAGTAGATCGGACCAAAAATTAATATTCAAAAACTGAAGGTAGCCAGGCTAACTATGACATCGGGACGTCAAACACCTCAGTCCCCCTCGTGACCATGGGGCCAAAATCCGTAAAAATTGGTTTCAATTAAAATGAAGTGACCAGTTGATCCATTTTTTTAGTGTAGTAATGGTGATAAACAACCATACATTATAGTATTATAATATTACGAAATATACCATACTACCTAAATAAGGAAATGGGCAGCAGCATCTTCTTGATAACAGCTCAAAATAACAAAAAGCTGCAGATGCCAATCTGCCCATTAAGCATAATAATTATAGGAAATATCCCCTCCTATGAGGAAATCTCTCTGTCTATGTCCAGGAGTAAAGCCCTATGATAGGTTGAAGAAGTTTTGATTAACTATATTTATTATTGAAATGGGAAGAGTGGGGGAGAGGGAGGAGTGGAGCGTTCACTTTCCTTCGCGTCACAACACGTTTCTTGGAAATGTGTAGTATTTTTAATACATTTTTCAAAGGCGGTGCATGAAATTGGGTGCCTCACATTGGTTCATAACAGTTCTACAAGAATATGGTTTTTATGTCTGTAATGTATGGGACAATCATAAAAACATTTTTTTAAACTGAAAAACGAAACCAAAACATTTTCAAATACTAGTATGTTTTTGTATTTTCTCTATGGCAATAGATAATGAAGGCAATTTTTTATTAGTAATGTGTCTATGGTGTATTATAGACTTGATCTATTGACCTATTTAAAGGTTTATGGAAAAATCATAATATTCAAACATTGAGGCAAATCAGTAGAGATGAATATTAAATTAAAGAAGTCTTTTAGAAAAAACAATTAAATAGTCTATATTATTAAACTAAAAAACATCTGAATATTATCTGACATGATTAAATAGACTATGTGGTCATTGATCATTGCCTGTTTCGTAGGAGACGGTTTAAAAAACTTCTCACAAAAACAAGTGATTTTACTACATAACTTACAAATCATAAAACATAAAATAAAAACGAAACCCCAGCACGGAGCTAACCCCACTTCATCTACATATACAACAAGAAGCAACTTTAGCTGCCATCAAACTCAAGACTTTAAATCGTTGGAGTAAGAATAGTGTACCTCATACAGGCATAATAAATAGAATTCACTCAAAAATTACTATCTTACAAGTCAAGTATGATAACATCCCTAAACAATTTGTATGTGATAAGAAGTACAAGATACAATTAAATGAAACCAGCCAGCCGGAAGGATTAAGCCCAAAAGAGTTTAGAGTTTTCACTGATGGTTCCAAAACAAATGAAGGTGTAGTATCTGGAACTTTCTCTGAAGACCTTAAGGTGGCACAAGTCGCGGGCTCGAACTCGCTGGTGGGCGCGGCCAAAAAGCACGCTGTCTCACCTGGCATCGTGCCCGACAGAGATAGTATCAGTGATGAGCATATCGACACTAGTATTCACGCATGTCGTGTTCGTACGGTGTTCCGAACCGTTAGAATAAAAACGAAGTTACACGAACACGATGCAACATCTATACTAATATAATAAAGCAGAAGAGGGTTTTTGTTTGTTTAAACGTGCTAATCTCTGGAACTACCAGTCCGATTTGAAAAATCTTTTTTTGGATATTATAGCCAGATTCATGTTGAATAGTATAGGCTATACAGCATTAGGCTATATATCTCAGCTAGCCTATATTTGTTAAGGAAGTCAGAAGAAAAAGCGCTGTTATGGTTCGGGATACGAATGTTCTAGAAAAATATAGATCTTTACTCCGTCTAAAAAAAGTCCGCGATACCATATGTCTATTTCTTATATATAAGCCACAATTAGGCATTTTGTGACAAAAAAAATGAAAATTTAATTATTAGGCACCTTACGAACCAAAGTTACTTCATTATCAAGACAATTTTATGAAGATAAACTTCGTTCTTTATACCATGTTTATATAGTACATAGTTTAAGAGATAATGTAAAATTAAAATAATTCAATACCTACTTGGCTTGACGCGCAAACAACGCATAACCCCTAGCCCGGTGCGAACTGAGAAGCCAGTATTGAAAGCTTCTATGAGCGAGGTTAGGTTAGCCGTTAGTTCAATCGTTATCTATATATACACAATTAAATAAAATTGAAGTGTCTGTTTGTAATGTCAAAATAACAGCTTTTTACTAATTGCGTATGAAACTGTATACGGTACTTATAACATTAACACAATTTTTAACATTTTTATATGTCTGTCAGTCTGTTTGTTGCGGTTAATTTCCAAAACGGCTGGACCGACTTGGGCGGGACTTTCACTAGTAGATAGCTCATGTTATAAGAAGTAACTTAGCCTGCTTAAATTTTAGAAAAATTATTAGGTGTCTTTGCAACAATATTAACGCCCTAAACTAAACGCGGACGAAGTCGCGGGGTACAGCAAGTAGCTAAAATAAATTCAAAATTAATTGAGTACTTTTATCTATCTCCCGGGTGAGCGTAGCAATGATTAGTTACATCTTTATTTCTGAACTCTTTCATTTCACGTTGCTATGGTATTTTGAAAGTTTAAATTTAATTAATTAATAAGTATAAGAGGTTGATAGCAAATTTATCAAGAATCATTTCTTGCCTACACACTTTTCATGAATCGTGTACGTTTTTCTTTAAAACTGGAAAAAACCGCGCATAATATGCCGACAGATAAAATAAAAGTACTCCATTAATCATGACAATTTTTCCATACATTACAATCAAATAAAATATTTGATTGCAATTATAAAATGCTTGAACTAGGTGTCATGTCATGCCACGCATCTCGGACACGTGATGACGCGGGTGAATCCACGAAATTATTAGGTATACGTCTGTGGCTCTATATACCTAATATAGATTGCTTATTTTATTATGTTTAGTTTTCCCCGAGTGGTCATGCAGCAATCACTCAAGAGTTCGGCTTCGAACGTGTGTAACTCGATAATTATCCCACGGCAACGAAATACCTGAATAAACGGTATCATATATGATATTTGGCAGCTCCGTGGCGCAGTGGCTTAGCAATGAATTGTTGTACTGGGAGCCGCGGGTTCGAATCAATCGAACAAGTATTTGTATGGTCTACAAATAATTGTTCCGGGTCTGGATGTTTGTAAACTGCCTCCACGATACAGGAGAAAATCCTAGTGTGGGGTAACGTTTTTTTGAAAAAAAAAATTCCGGACTATAGCCTATCTCTGAGCAAAATATCATCCAGATCCCTTCAGCCGTTCTGGCGTGATTGAGTAACATACATCCATTCATCCGTCCATCCAAATATCCAAACTTTCGCATTTATAATATTTAGATAATAATCGTAATTGGTCTGCCTACCTATAAATTGTTTTCAAAAATACTTACTTACCTGGCTTCTTATTTTTTTATATATACTCAATATCACTAAACGTAAACACAGGTTTTTATCAAGACAAGTGACCCATCAAGATTGTTTTCTTAGTACCGACGTACCTACCTAAAGTTTACAATTTTGTGGCCACGACGCGGCGAGGTTTTGTGACATTTTGTTGTATTGTTGATTGTAGGTATCTAGGTAATAACAGTAGGTACCTATGAAAATCCCACATAATATACTTTGTTTATCCGCCGCAAAAGTCGTCTAATAAATAATTAAACTGTTTTGTAATTCTTTATTTATTTATAACACTTACATTGAGAGCCGTGGTAGCTCAGATGGTTAGCGCTCGCTGTAAGTATCACATTACGCGAGCAACCCGGGTTCGATCCCCGTCGGCACCAATGAAATTGTTGCAATTTTATATAGTAATCGAATATAGACTTTACTTTTTTTACTTTTATAATTATATTATACTACAGACGAAAATTTTAAAATATTGTCTGTCGTCCAAAACGCATCATCTCTTTCAATCATATCAATTTCCATGCCGTCTTTTGTCTTTGGCGTCCAAATTACAAAATAGCAAAGCAAAACTTTTCGTTTCGAATAAAACTCGAATACTTATAAGCGCGCGTCACCGCCTGTGCATGTGTGTGTAAGCATCGTCCTCCCGCACCGCACCGGGGGAGACATTATTCAGTGAGATGCACGATAATTCATAGTAACATGCGCGCGTAAAAAAATACGAAAAGGCCTTTGGAAGAAGGGGTTTTATGAAAAAACCACTGCATTAATCAATTACAAATAAAATTTATTGAGTTCTTCGATAATTGACCTGTGTCGGTACCGACTTTGTTTTGGAAATTTTACACTTCTTTTATTACTAATTTACGCCCAAAGTTGTGTTAAAATTGGCAATAAAAACGAATCTTTGGTAGCTCGTAACTTTTTAATAACATTTTATTTTACTATTCTGTTTCCGTACAGACAAATTTAATAATGAGACAAAACGATATCATGTTTAATTTTGGATGTACACTGTCAAACAGCGGAGTAAAACCCCTCCGAAATTTCTATGGAAATAATGTCGACTAGTGTCACCTTAATATCCACATATGCACACCACTGGGTATGTATAACACAGTCTTTCAGGTAGAATGTATGGGTATCATTCAAGCAACCATAGCAATAAATGCTAGGAAGGTTAATCACTTCTCTATCAGAATACTGACTAACACTAGGGCGGTACTACAAGCTCTGAGTTGCAATGTGGTGAACTCGGGACTAATATATGAATGCCATCAACAATTAAATGAGGTATATAAAAACAACAATGTGACTCTGCAATGGATAAAGGGACACAGTGGATCCAGAGGCAACGATGCAGCAGACAAACTGGCCAGAAGAGGATCGGCTCTGACCACTATAGGACCAGAACCAATCATACTAATCCCCTTTGGTAACATTAATTCACTGGTACGTAGACACTTCACTAATCAACATGCTCAGCTTTAGAAAATCTAGTAGACTGTAGACAAGCTAGGGAGGCCCTGCCTGAAATAAACAGATGATTAACCAAAGTTCTAATGAGATTGAACAAGCCGCAGATCAGGATAGTAACAAGTACTATCACAGGATACGGCACCTTTAACAAACATTTATTTACTATAGGTGTTACAGATAGTCCCCTGTGCAGGGCATGTATGGGGGAGAAAGAAACGGCGGCCCATGTGCTGCTGAAATGTCCGGAGGTCGCTACATACAGGGCTAAACATCTCGACACAGCTTCCGCTTCAGGCTTCCGCACAGTATCTATATCTGTGGCCATAGCTCTCGCTGATCTGATACCCCTAGATCTTAAAGTAAGGCAAGTCCACAACATTGAAAAGTCTAGACTTACAGGCACTTCTCATTACATTCCCAGCGATCTTCCTTTAGAGAAACCCACACCCATACACAAATTACTACACCCAGCAGAGAGACTTAAAATCAATCCTAAACTCATCACTTCACAGGCGGAAGTCGATGCTCTTGTTGGACTTGAGACAACAAAAATTTTCACAGATGGCAGCAAATTGGAAGACGGAGCAGTTGGCGCTGCTTTTGTCTGTTACCATTCCACACACACAGACTCAAAGACACCACTCAAACATACAATAAAGCACATACGGAAAACTCGATAGAAGCTATAAAGAAATATAAACTCCACTCAATGTGCACTGTAATCCAGGCCGAACAGTTCGCAATCCTTAAGGCTTGTGAATGGGCAGCTGATAAGCGGTGCACGCATACAGTAATCTACACGGACTCTCTTTCGGCCCTACATTCCATACAAGACAGATCCAATACACACCCAATTGTTAACAAGATTCACCATACTATTCACCGACACAAATGTTTTGGCACCATCGACTTTGCCTGGGTCAAGAGCCATACTGGCATAGCTGGCAATGAGGCGGCAGACATGGCGGCTAAAGCAGGAGCCAAAGCACACAAGGCACCTGACTATTTCGCAATACTTACATCTTACATAAAACACAGAATTAAAATTGAGACGCACACGTTTTGGCAAACCAGGTATGAGAGCTCTGAAACAGGTAAACATTCCAGAGAATTACTACCAACACTGGATCTCATACAGGAACTTAGAGCGGCTACCAATATGAGTTTCCACTTGACTCAGGTTCTCACCGGCCACGGATACCATAAAAGTTATTTGTTCAGATTTAAAATCACCACGGATGACAAATGCCCTTGCGATTATTCAGCTACGCAAACTATTGAACATCTACTCCAACAATGTCCCACGTTTAGTGCCACGAGAAATGATCATGAATTAATCTGTAACTTTTCCGGTGTGTCTCCCTTTAAAATAGCCGAACTCATTAAGAAAGAATCAACCCTGAACTCCTTTGTTAAATTTGTTAAAACAATTGTATACAGACTTAAAAAATTTAATAATACCTAGATATAACTTAGGCACAATATAGATAAAACTTTTGATTTTATGGTACCTATTACAACAATTCGAGTTTGATTTTGTTAGTAATTTCATTAGTTTATATCAACTAGTTTCCAGACAAATGTAACTAATTGAGAGTTTTCTTTCGTTTTAATGATTTTATGTTAACAACATTTTCTTTAATAATCCTAAAATGTTAAATTTTTCTAGTGTATATAGTGTATATAATAAAAAAATTTGTAAATAGTACTGAAATTCGTAAATATTATAATTATTTACTCGTACTGTCAAAGCAACACCACTGTATCAAATCGCAGTGCTGTTTGTAATTAGCCGTCTTTGTTTAATAATCTTGAACTTGTTTACAAAACTATATTAAAAATGTGTAACATTAGTTAATAAAGGGCTACTAGGGATGGTGTAATATCTGGTGGAAAATCAAAAAGAAAAAAAAATAATCTCAACATGCCAGGATCACTCCCAGAAGTTACTTGCAACATCAAAGGACTGTTGAACTTCTTGGAGATCTCATGGCTCGCGCATAGACGTGGAGTTACAGAAAACAGCCCGTCATAAACTAAACTAAACTAAACCCCAGCACGGCTAGCATGGGCTGGGGACAAAAAATTTATCCCCCGGTTGTATCCACTGACAAGAGATTTATCTTGTCCTTATGTCAAAGCACGGCAACAGGGAGAAGTATATCCCCATTTGACATAATGAGTAGAAATATATCCCCCGTCCATAGCATGCAGCCAAATGAAAGATAAAAAATTATACTTTTTTGACATTTGAAAGGGACAATTTTATCCTAGACCATTGGATGTGGGTTTAAGTTTATATTCATACAAAAAATCTATCTAAGTCTAAGTCTATCTCCCATTTTATCTACTGTGGATATTATATCCACCAGTATGCCCATGCTCAAAGGGTGGATAAAACTCATCGAGGAGATAAATATTTTCTCCTTTCCCCGGGGATAAAATTGTCTCCTGCCCATGCTAGCCCTGCTGGTCCTGTAAAATATATTTTTGACATAAGTAAATAAATATATTTTTGACATAAGTAAATAAATATATTTTTGACATAAGTAAATAAATATATTTTTGACATAAGTAGCAAATGTTTAAATCTTCAAAATAAGACATATTTGAACCTTGTTCAGCAACGGGCTCAAGCTTGTATGGAAAAATAATTTCGACTGTTTTAATCGGTTAAAATTAGTAAGGATGGGTAAATAGTTTTAACAGTAAAATATATATTTTATAACTAATACAATATGTATTAGTTGTATTTAATTTTAATTACAAATCACAAAAATAACAATATTTAAACTTTTTATAACCCAAACAAACAAGAACAATGAAACTGAAACTTTGTACACTTATGTGAAAAAAGGAGATCTTCCGAACAGTAGTCATTCGAAAGTGCTAACTTTGGTTATATAATTTAAAAGTGAACCTGATAGGTTGTAAGGAATTAATGAAAAAAATCTAAATAATAGCTTAAAATGTGAAGTTACAAAAGTTGTGTTTTTAATATAGTTTACTATCTTGCTTTATCTTATATTATTCTTCGCCAAAAGGAATATTAAACCGTATACTTAATGTTTTAATACATGTAAAACTCGTGCAAGATTATAATAATTGAATAAATTATTAGTTATACGCACCGGATTGTAGTGATACTACAAACTGTTGCCTAGCAACATTGTTGACAACCTTTAAGGCTTCAGTTGAGAAGGATCTCATACGAGTCAACATTCCAATCAAATTTGATGTTTATGAAATGATAAAATTATGTATGATAATTTCAAACTTGAAATAAAATAATAATAAATGTTTTATGTTCGTCGTTAACTCGTTAATCTCTCAGGCATAGAGTAGGGACGTTCCGAATCATAGTTACTAGTATCGGAATTTCCGATACTAGTAAATACGAGTAGGTACTCGATACTTTTGATTCGATACCAAGTACTAATAGCATCGAATCAATCTTGCGATAATTACTCGGTATCGAAAAAAAGTACTTGGTATCGAATCAGGCGAGCCGAAACCGTCCGACTTCACCCGAGCCGAGACCGAGAGAGAAAACCGCCATTACACTAAAGCAGTGTCCAGCATTCCACAAGTGATTGTTTATGATTATATTACAAGTAATTTAAGTTATTGCAGTCATCGGTTTATTGTTCCAATGTTATCATGGCACCACCAAAATCATTAATATGGTCATATTTTACCAAAACAAACGAAACAACTGCAAAATGTAAACAATGTTTTAAGTCGGTGAAATATTGTGGCAATACGCCTAATTTATTCAATCATTCCAAACCTCATGGAATTACTGTGAATAAAGGCAAATTACAGAAAAAAGCAGATAAAGGGACAAACGAAAGGTAGGATCTTCAACTTTTCACTAATTAATTTCGTAGGTTAGGTTTGGTTAATAATAGTTCGTTAGTTCATTGGTTGGAATTATGCGATGTTATCTAAAGTACGTTAATTTCATTTAAAAAATCTAAAAGTATCAATATCAGTAAGTATCGATACATTAGGAGTATTTGTATGAGTAGTATCGAAAAATGACTTGAGTACTACTGATATGAGTAGGTATCGATACTTTGATAGTATCGGAACATCCCTAGTATAGAGTAGAGTAATTATCTATGAGAGTAATATATTATTAAAAAATACGATTTTACTCAAATCTATGGAGTGTAGACTACTATACTTACTGAAAATAGAGGTTCCAAAACCTACCACAATAGCGTTGGCGTCTGAAAAACTACGATATGAAAATAGCTGTTGTAGACGGAGTGAAGTCAGCTGAATTCAAATATTAAAAAAATTTCATGACTAGAGTAGTTAGTAAAATGCCAGTATACAAAATCTCAACCATTTACATAGTACGAAACCAAGCGGTCGGTCCTTGTTTATTTCTCCATCTTATTCTAATTACTTTTGGCGCTTTTTTTAATTTATCCTATGCTACTGGAGCGCCACCCTTATTGGACACATTTTTAGGGACACTTTTCATATATAGAGATGGTCCTCCTTCTCTCTACACTCCATACTCAAATCTCTGACAAGCTGTCACTGTCAGTTTGATGTCAAAGTCGATGTATTGGTTTATGCCCATTCCCATTGATATAAGAAAAATAGAGGATAAGCAGTAAATTGCATATATATTTTTTGGTTATACAAATATCATGCAAACATGAACCTTGCCAACAAAAATATATCTGTCTCATTCTCATACGCTATGATTTTCTAATGTAAAAGAAGATAAGTACATATCTTAGACTTCAATTTTCTGTTGAGAGTTTTCATAATTTCACTAAGCTCCACCTTGAAGCATGACGCCATTTTAGGATGACGTTCATTTGTGGTAGTTCGTCTGTCATCTAAGCCTTGTTCGGAGTTATTTTGCAGTGTTACAGTGAATTTTGACTATTTTGGAGCTTTTTTATTCATTAGTAAAGGGTAATTGAGCAAAAACAACATGAAAAAGTGTTGCATCAATGGATGTAATTCAAATTCTCGTAAAAAATGAAGAAGGATTGTCATTTTTCAGGTTAGTTGTAATTTTTTCCATAATTGTATATTTTTTCGTGTGAATTGCGTTTCGTGTTCATGTTGTGGGTTCTAAATCGTGTTTCCCGCTATTATCTAGAATTTCCAATGACTATTATCATGTAAATTTAAACAAGTAAACATTTTGATTGTTTACATTTTACATAGTGTTGCCCTTACGTGCTGTCATGTTTTGAAATTATCGATATAAATTTTAAGAATAATATTAATGTAGTCCTATGATCATATGACGTTTTAGATACGTAAACTGTATATTTAATCAAATGATTGATTGAGAGCCTTTCATTTAAGAAAAGAACTTGAAAATAGTGTAAATCGTAAATTTTCTATAATAGTTTTTTTCATCGAAAGATTTGATGATGTTAAGATTATTTTTGATTGGTACTTAAGGATGCATAATATTTATTTTAGGTTGCCGAAAAATGAAGTCCTTCAAAAATTGTGGATTGATAATACAGGCCAGGAAAACATAAAACATGCAGTAGTAAGAAGAATATGCTCCTTGCATTTTGAAAAAGAATGTATAAATGGAACGCTGGATGTAATTCGGCTTAAGGGTGATTTGGTTCATGTGTCTAAAATAAATTTTCTGACTAAATAATATTATTTCGTCACGAATAAATGATTTTAATCAGTATACATATTGTTATTTTATTTATTTTAATCTTTACTCTCTCGTTTACCTCCAGTATCCACCACTAATTACGCTACTGGTGGAAGTCATTACAACTTGCAGGTTGTAAACACTATAAAATTGATATTTTGTGGTGTTACACAAATGGGATATAATGAGAAATGAGTATGGAATTGGAAGTCTGAAGTGGCGCAGCCACCCCTATTGATCGAAATGTTGCATGGAAATTGGTTGTCATGTGGTATGAACATGGGATGGTGAAGATTGAGGAATACGCAAGGATAGTTAAATGATTAATGGATTGTGTGAACGGTGGTATGGTAAGAAAGGGGCTACTCAACTCGATTAGATTACTGAGATAAATAAATAAATAATCTTTATTATCAAAAAAGGAGTAGAACTATGTATGAAAGAAAAACATACTCCACGAACTTTAAATAAAACAAGATTAATGTCAGTCTACTACACGTTCATGGTGACTTGAACTGGTAACCGACCATTACCACGAAAGAAAGGTGTTGTCGAATCTTTATGGCGGCTTGAAAGTTAAGAGCGAGCGCCAGTCCGTGCAGATATAGTTGAAAGAAAACTTGATGGTGTCTCAGATCACAGTACGTAAAGCGAAGCGTGAAGGTACAGGACTTGCGCTCGCAACTAACTTCCCAGCCGCTATAAAGTCTATATATATGATATAATTAACGCAACCTGGACGCATACCGTTGGGGCTGGTTCGATGTGGTGCAGGACAAAACCACTGGGAAAAACTTAGGGGAGACTTCTGCCTAGTAGTGGGGCAGCATGGGCTGGACAAAAAATCATACGAAGCCTAATACATTGCCTATAGTGGTGGTTTCGTTAATCTCTGCAGAGGCGAAAAAAATGCATGCGTCGACCCAGGGACGCACGTATGGAGAGCTTATGTGCAGATTGCCTTCGTTACGAAAAAACGTTAGCTCGTTGCACGAATTCAGTATAATATTCTGGTGCACGTCGTATACGTGTTCTGAAAAGAGAGGAGTTAAAGCTCCAATCACGTGCTCTTTCCTTGGTATCTTCGCTCACTTTTGACTGTTGCTTCACCATATCTTAAAGCAATTACAGTTTCAAAACTTTCCTATTCTGAGTTGAACGTAAGAATTATTTATTTATCATCTCAATACAACTATTATTACAGGATTAACCCAATGCAATAGTGTAGTGATCTAATATTTGTTTATTTAATATATACCTATGAGATGGACAATACGTCATAATTTATATAGCATCGATACTGAAAATATCGACAAAAACAACGCTATTTCTTGTGGGTGGAGTAGTCGCCATATTTGAGAAACACTTGACTTCAGATCACGTGACCACATGCCATATCCCCTATTTTTCTTATATCTTTGTTTATGCCACTGACTTAGAAGTATATGGACTGGGCATACCTACAGAATTAACGTGACTACCTAGACAAATCTGGCGCATAAAATGGCCGCCTTTTATAGGGTTGTAACTCAGCAATATGGGCAGCTGATATCGATATTTTTGCTAATATGAGTTTGTTCTTATTTTATATAATTATAGAAATTAAATCAGTAGCCTAATTGCGTAACACACCTAACATGGAAAACCATACCAATTTGACAGTTTAACAACATCCATTGCGTGGTTTTTGTTGTCGAGCAAACGAATTTTTCAATCACATGAAGCAATGGAAATTGTTGGGTTGTTAAATTAGTTTTGGATTGCTATCCCTTAAATTTCATTTGAGCTGCTTCACCAGACTTCACCGCATATGTACACTTACGTAATGCATACTCTGCTACAAATTTTTTGTGTTAGGTACAAAGTCAAACAATGAGTTAAGTATGCAGGCAGTACTTGCAACTTGTTTTAAACAATGTTCTGAGTGTGCTAAGTGCTTACTCAAGTTTTGAAGTTACACTTCTTTTGGCGCGTTTGAGAAAAATTATGAGAGTAAATTTTTTACAACTTCAGTTGGTAATTGTCTGTCAATTGTTAAGTTTTCGTGAGAACTGATAACTATTCGAAGTAGATATTTAAATATATATTAATGTTTTAAACGTGTTTTATTTTAGTTATTTTTTAAAAGCATTTAGAAAAATTTACTTCGCAAATATCCGCGTTATAAAATTTTATAACGCGGATTATAAAAGTTTTTATATAATGGATTTCCGCAAAGTAACGCCTGATTTTATTAATTATATTAGTTATTTTTGTATTGTTACGCTAAAGAAGTATAACATCTTACATGCGTACATAAGTACAAACACATGTTTTGTTTTATATCACTGTGAACAAAGTTATAACGCATAGAATAAAAATGAATATTGACTGAGTAATGGGAAAATTAATATTTTTGCTTGTAAACCTTTGTTTGCTGTACAATAATATTGGTATGGAGATGGGATGGAGATCCTTGATCCCATATTATAGTATTTTTAATATAAAATAATAATTATTAGTTGAGTAAAAATTAAACAAACTGTTTTAAAAATCAATATTTATTTATTATTAATTGGTATATAGGAACGTTCTGCACATAATTGATCACAAATGGTAAGTTATACAAGCATGTTCGGTCCTGCTGGATATCATATTGAATTTTATTATTTAGATTTTAAATGAAAAATA